ATGTGGGATCTTCCCAGACCGGGGCACGAACCCGTGTCCCCTGCATCGGCAGGCGGACTCTCAACCACTGCGCCACCAGGGAAGCCCTACGATTTTTTTTTTAAGTAAAATTTACCGACAGTGAAATAGACAAATTTCACATGTACTGTTGTGAGTTTTAACAAATCCATATACCTGTGTGCAAACCCCTATCAAGATATATGATGTCACCCCAGAAAGTTCCCTCATCTCCTGTCCTATTTAGTCCTCACCCTTACCCACCCAGAGGCAACCACTGCTCTGATCTTTTTTTTTTTTTTTTTCTGAGATAGTACCTATTCTAGAACTTTATGTAATGGAATCAGATAGTATGTAGTATGTACCCTTTTGTGTAAGGCATCTTTCACTCAGCATAATGTGTTTGAGATTCGCCCATGTTGTTGTATCAGTAATTGCTTTTTACCACCGAATATAAATCATAGGGACTTCCCTGGCGTTCCAGTGGTTAAGACTCCATGCTTTCAATGCAGGGGGCCCAGGTTTGATTCCTGGTCGGGGAGCTAAGATCCAACATGCTGCATGGTGCAGCCAAAAATTGTGTGTGTGTGTGTGTGTGTGTGTGTGTGTGTGTGTGTGTGCGCGCGCACGCACACGCGCGTGTAAATCATAGTTTGAAGGACAGTGTTTTCAGTTTGGGGCTATTTTGAATAAAACTGCTATGCACATTCTTGTACAAGTCATTTTGTGGACATATATTTTCATTTCTCCTGGGATATACCTAGGGGTGGAATTGTTGAGTCGTAGGATAGATGATGTTTACTTTTTTTCTTTAATCTTGGGCAAGTTGCTTAACCTCTTTTGGTGGTGGCAGCAAAGTCTTCTGGACTGGTCTTCTGGTTTGACCTTGCCGGGGGTTAGGCTGTCCAAGTTTGGACAATATATATAACCTGACACTTAACATTCCAAGCCATTGCACAGCAGTGCTGTGTGGCAGCCAGAGGTTCAATGTTTGCATTGTTATCTATTTCATCTATAAAATAACAGTCTGGAATTATCTGATACTTTTTTTACCCATTCTCCCAGCAAGTACTTATTGATAAATACCAGTGCTAGGTCTACACTAGATGTTATAGTCGCGTTACTTTCTTAATGAATTTTTATTCCATGCATAATATAGTTATATATTCTTTTCATTAAAAATCAGAACATTACATTATATGTTTGGTTTTACAAGAAACTATCAGACCTTTTTCTAAAGTGATTGTACCATTTTAAATTCCAGCCAACAACGCACAAGCGTTCTGGTGTTTTTGTATCCTTGTCAGCATTTGTTGTTGACAGCCTTTAAAATTTTAGTCATTTGAATGGGTGTGATGCATTCTTTTTAATGGCTGTGTAATATTCTGTAGTGTGGGTGTTTACAACTTATCCAGCTATCTCCCTATTTATGGGCATTTGTTTCGTTTTCAATTCTTGGCCACTGAGAATGACTCTACAGTAAGCATCCTTGCACATATGTTCTTATATGTTGGTACTTTTCTTTTCCATGGGATACATTCTCATGAGTTAAAGGATACCTGTATATCAGATGTTAGGAGATATTTTGCCAGATTGTTTTCCAAAAGGTTGTAATGCTTCACCTTTCTACCAGCAGTGTATGAGAGTTTTCTTTTCCACATAGCAACACGTGTTGTGCCTATTTTCCTTTTTTATCAGTCTAATGGAAATAAAATGGTACCTTGTTTTTACTGTAGTTTGCATTTCTCTACTTTTAGAGCATCTTCTCAGACTTCTGGGTCATTGGAGTTTGCTCTTTAAGTTGAATATTCAGTTTTTCTATTGTTCATCTTTTTTTTCCCCTAGAAATCTAGGTGACTAGATGTGTAAAAGAACTGGTGCTTTTTTCAACTAGTATGTACTAAGTTTGTGATTTAAAAAAAAAAAATTTTTTTTTAATTTTTTATGACTGTCACCTTAGACCAAGTGAATTTGGGTGGTAGTAGTAATAGATGTGAGGTATAATTTGAAAGCTACTTAGGTGGTAGCACCTATAGTAGAAGTCGCAAAACTTGTGAAGTTGAGTTCCTCCTGCCCATGTGTCCATGCGGAAGCTTCCAAAGATAGGAGATTTCACCTTAAAACTGTGCTTTGGACTTCTCTTAAAAGCCAGATCTGGCCATCTTGGGCCTGCATCCCCTGCTGGCAACGTCTGTCTGGAGATGAGTAGGAGTTCCCCCCTTTAGACAGGACTTGTGCTCCTGGGTTTGTCCAGTCCCCTCAGGGTTCCGTTTCCTCCCCAGCACTAAGCTGAGAGCTCCAGGGCATTTGAGAGCACCTGCACTTTTCTTGTAGTAGATTATAGTATATTAGTGTAAGAAGGACATGTGTAGGACTACACATGTCCTTACACTAAGGACTCAAAAATGGGACTGTACAGGTGCCTGAGACGGCTGCAGATATCAGATACCTGTGGAGTCTGGCATCTGTCGGCATTTGAGTGTGTGCCTGATCCATGGAATTTAGTGACTCACTGACCAGGGGGCCCAGTGGGGGGGAAGCTTCTGATGACGCCCTGATTTCAGTCCCTTTGCCTGGACCCCTCAGCAGCATTTGAGCCTGTTACCTGATTCTCCAGCAGGTGGTACCTGCTGTTTTCTCTTCCTCCCTGGGTTATGCTGGTCTCAGGTGTTCTCAGATTATACTCACACTCTCTGGTTGTAACTACTACCTGACGTCTCCCTAATATTAAGCTCTGCTTTGACTTTGGCCTGAGTTCTCAGCTTCTGATTCATGGAGCTAGCTGCCTCCGGACCACGGGGATCTCAGACTGACCATGTCCACACCCAGATGTTGTGGTCAGCCCTTCCAACCTCCTCCTCCTCTTGTTTTTACCTCCTATCTCAGGAATAGTTCCTGAAGCCAAGCCATTGGTTTGGGTGTTGTCCTCGACTCCTTTCCTCTTCCCAGCCTCCATTCCCTCTCCTGTCCAAAGCCAAATTCTGCTAATTGTATATTCTCAATATCAGATCTGTCCCCTCTTCTCTCCTCACCACTGCCTTGTTTGGGCCCTTGTCATCTTTTAATTGGACGATTGCAATGGCCTTCTTCTAACTGGTCTCCCTGCCTACAGTCTTGCCTCCAGCAAATCCATCCTCCAATCCTGATGCCTGAGTGATCTGAAATGCAAATATGATCTTGCCACTCCCCTGCTTAAAACCCACCAACGGGGTGGTTCTGTAACCACAGTGTAGCCTCTGGTGCAGGCTGAAAGTAAGTTGCTACTCTTACTACTACTGCTACTATTAGTACTACTATTGCTACTAATAGGATACTAATAATAGTAGCTAACATTTCCTGAGCATTTTCTATTGTGTTTTCAAATGATTTATTATCTCTTTAAGGCAAATCAGAGCCGATTCAAAGTTTTCTGAATGGTATCACTCATTTGCTTGGGGGGAGGGAGGGGGGCAGAGTTATAGGCAGGGGCCACCAGGGAAATGTCTGTAACCATAAATGACCTTATATATGCTAGTGAGTGACCATGCTGATTGAGCCTTAATAGTTAAATAGGCATTACCATGGTTCCTAGGAGCTAGGATTTCCTTTCATTCCCTACAAAGCATGGAGGGTGGGTGGTCAGCTGTCCAGATCTTGAATGTGTCCATGAAGTGTGTCGCACGTGGGGATGTCCTCTGGCTCTTGGGTGCCAGTAAAGGAGGAGAGCTTCTGGCCTTCAGGGTCAAGTGCGGGCTTCGTGGCTTGGCATGCAAAACTATGCAAGACCGGGTCCCTGCCCGCCTCTGCTGCCTCCAGCCAATCCCTTCCTTGGACTCTTCACTCTAGTACAACCAGACGGGGTGTGATACTAATCAGAGCACACCTTACTGAGATCTTATGTGCCAAGCACTGGGCTAAGTGGACACCACAGTGTCCGTCTCTCACGTAATCCTCACAGCCACCCCGGGAGATGAGTCTGCCATTATCCCCATTTTATAGAGGAGCAAAGTGAGGCTCTGCGAGGTAACCGAGATGGCTCAGCTAGTGGCAGAGTGGGCGGTCCCCACAGCCTCTCGGCACGTGTTCTCGGTAGGCACCCGCTCCTGGGCTCACACTCTGTGCTCCCCCTGCGCCTGAATGACACCCATTCAGCCTTCAGGACTCAGTTCTGACGCCGTTTCTTGGGGGGAAGCCGCCAGGGCTGAGCCCCACCCCGCTGAGCTCCCGGCAGCGGGCTGGAACGAATGTGTTCCGTCTGTGCTCCTCGAGGCCTCTTTGAAGCCCCAGCATCTAGCGCAGTGTCTGGCACATAACAGGTCTCTGTAAGTGTTTGTTGAGCTGACTAAACTGAATTCCAGGCGCTGAACCTCGAGGTTGTTGTCCTTCTGACCAGTTTTCCCTGTCTTCACCTTCTCTAGGCCCAAACAAGCTATTTGATCTCTGGAGAAGGATCCTTTCCCTCCTGCTTGGGTTCCACCTGCACCCTATGACTTCAGGGGGAAACTGCTGTCTGATCAGCCACCTTGCCCACACACCCTGGACATCTGTACTCTCTGCCCCTCTCTCACTCCTCACCGGCGGGCTGGACCCCGAATCCACCCCCCTGAATCAGCTTCTTCGGCTTCCCTCTCAGCTTTAGCTCTTTCCACTTCAGTGTTTGTATCTTTTCTGTCCCAAATTCCCCCTGCCCCCCACCACAAATCTTCCTTTCTCTCTCTCTTCCCTTAGTACTCCAATTCAATAGCCCATCGTTGGGCTGTTCTCCTTAGAAGTGCACCGTCCACCGCCTGCTGTTTAAAACAACCATATTTTGTCTTGAGGGGGTCCCATTGCCTTCCCTGAAAACATTAAAAATTCCTGCCATTCCCAGCCCCGGCCTGTCCCGCACAGAGCGGCCCTCAGATGCCCTCCCCAGCTTGCTGCCCCCGTCCCTCACTCCCCAGTCTCCTCTGCTCCCGGCAGCTTTGGGACCCCCGCCCCTGGCTTCTCCTCCATGCTGTATGGAATGAAGATTGCCAACCTGGCCTACGTCACCAAGACCCGGGTCAGGTTCTTCGGGCTCGACCGTTGGGCCGACGTGTGGTTCCCAGAAAAGAGGAGAATGAAGCCGGGGTCGGAGATCAGCAAACACCACAAGTCGCTGCTGGCCACGATCTTTTATGACAGGTGTGTGACGGGGTGGGGGGCGTGTCTGGCTGGGGAGAAAGGCGGTTGCCTCCGCTTGGGGTAAGGCTCCATCCTACAAGGACTGGGGGAAGGGCAGGAAAGGAGCTAATTGGCCTGGGGGAGGGGATGGGTTGCCTGAGCACAGCTGGCACTTGGCCAGCCTCCCCAAGCCTTTAACTTTCTCCGAGGGCAACCCCCAGGCTTGGCTGCTCCCGCCCCAGCCATGCTCTTGACTCCCACTCTCCCCAGGGCTGAGTATCTTCACGGGAAACATGGGGTGGACGTGGAGGTCCAGGGGCCCCATGAAGCCCGAGATGGGCAGCTCCTTATCCGCCTGGATTTGAACCGCAAGGAGGTGCTGACCCTGAGGCTTCGGAATGGAGGAACCCAGCCTGTCACCCTCACCCACCTCTTCCCATTCTGCCGGACCCCCCAGTTTGCCTTCTGCAATGGAGACCGGGAGCTGCCCTGCCCACTGGGCCCTGGTGAGTGGGTTCCCAAAGGAAAGAGTCTCTGGTGGACAGAGTCCTGCCCTAGGAAGGTCTGATGCTTCAGGAACGTGCTGTTGCTGGCCCGTGGGCTCCTACCTTGGGACGGGGCTCTGGGGGGAATGTCAGGGTTGGGCTGCTGGTGGGAGGGTCCCTTCCCCACCCCGACTCACTCAGCCATCCTCTCCCAGGTGAATGCTATGAGCTCCACGTCCACTGTAAGACCAGCTTTGTGGGCTACTTCCCAGCCACCGTGCTCTGGGAGCTGCTAGGACCTGGGGAGCCAGGCTCAGAAGGAGCTGGCACTTTCTACATTGCCCGCTTCTTGGCCGTCGTGGCCCACAGCCCCCTGGCAGCACAACTGAAGCCCACAACTCCCTTCAAGCGGACCCAGATCACTAGAAACCCTGTGGTGACCAACCGGATAGAGGAAGGAGAGAGACCCGACCGGTAAGTCCTCCCTCCAACCCAGTCCTGGCTGGGGGTGTCCCAACACCACACTGTGGGAAGAACACAGAGCCCCCTTTCCTAACTGTGAGTTCTTAACTCCAGACCTCAGAGACCTTTTCTGTCTAGGAAGAAAAGCAGATATGAGGACAGTGTGAAAAAATTTCAAGTATTTTTGACTATATGATGGATTATCAGTCAGCCAAGGTGGACACGTGTCTCTCTCTCTCTCTCTCTCTCTCTCTCTCTCTCAACAGCTTTATTGAAACAATTCATATACCATACGTTTCACCCATTTAAAGTGTACAATTCTGTGCTTTTTTTAGTATATTCACAGGTATGTGCAACCATCACCACAATCCATTTTAGAGCATTTTATCACCCCCAAAAGGAGCCCGTACCCTTTAGTTATCACCCCTTTTGCTCCCCATCCACCCCGCCCCCCGCAGGCTCTAACCAGCCACTCATCTACTTTGTGTAGATTTCCCTCTTCTGGACATTTTATATGAATGGAATCGTATACGTGTAAACAGCTCTTTTTGACATGTCCAGGTGTTCACAAAATACTGAGCAAACCATAAGACCATTGTGCTCTTTCTGTTAAAAATATGTATGTAAAAAAAAAAGAAAAAAAAAATGTGTGTAGGGGAATTCCCTGGTAGTCCAGTGGTTAGGGCTTTGAGCTTCCACTGCAGGGGGCATGGGTTCGATCCCTGGTCAGGGAACTAAGATTCTGCATGCTGCGCAGCACGGCCAAAAAGTTAAGTGAGTAAGTAAGTAAGTACATAAATAAAAATATATGTGTATGATACAATTTGACAAAGAAAAATGTCTGGAAGGCTGCATGCCAAAAGGTTAACATTGGTTATCTCTGGATGGTGAGAATGTTGTTTATTTACTCATTTATTTATTACCTATTTTCTGATTTTTTTCCTCTGATGAACATATATTGTTTACATACATATCTATATGCATATATATGTGTGTGTATATACATATATATATATATTTTATTTTTTTTGCCACACCACACAGCTTGTGGGATCCTAGTTCCCTGACCAGGGATTGAACCCGGGCCCCCTGCAGTGGACGCACAGGGTCCTAACCACTGGACCACTAGGAAATTCCCTATATACATATTTTTTTAAATGCTTCCAAGTATCATGCTTTCCAAAAATGAGGATGGTCCAACCTTGGCGTGAGCAGCCTCATGAGACAGTGAGTCCTATCTCCTAGGGCAAAGGCTGCCAACCCCCTTCAGCAATAGTGTTGAAGCAGAGCCTTGTGCTTCCTCCAGGGAAGGGCCTTCTCTGAGACTCTGAAGGTGAAGGGTCTCTGTGTTTGTAATAGCTTTTCTTCTCTCCCTCCTGCAGTGCTAAGAGCTATGACCTGGAGTTAAGTATGGCACTGGGAACATACTACCCACCCACCCGCCTCCGGCAGCTGCTCCCCATCCTTCTTCAGGGAACAAGTATCTTCACTGCCCCAAAGGAGATTGCTGAGATCAAGTAAGTACCACTCCTCTGCACCCTTCGTGCTGCTTTGTATGTTTCTTTTCCACTGGCTTCTTCCCACTGCCCCATGCCTCTGTCCTCAGCCTCCTGTGCTCAGTTCATTCATCCCCTTACTGAGCACACGCCATGTGCCAGGCACCATTCAAGGTGAATCACTCGCATGATGGCCCTGACATCCTAGTTGGGGAAAGTGAGCCTCTGTCATCTTATTTCATGTAATGATGAGTGCTATGAAGAATTAACTAAAGAGCTAAAGCAGGGTGAGGGGTGGGCTGTGCTATTTTGCAGAGGGCAGCTAGTCCTGGCCTCTTTGAGGAGGTGACATTTGAGCAGAGAATGACCTTTGAATGAGGTGACGGTGTGAGTAATAGGAGGATCTTGGAGAAAGGATGTTCCAGGCTCCAGGATCCACAGTGCAAATGCGAGTCAGGTCTGAGCTTGGGGGGAAGGGGCTCCCTACTTGGAGGCCTCTGACCCCCATCTGCTTCTCTGCCCTCCTAATCTTGCCCGATTCCTGATGTCTTCATAGTCCCAGAGCTGCAGAGGGAGAGGGTGGATGCTCCTGGACATGGGGGTTGCCTGACCCATCCCGTTCCCGTCCCCTCCCTCCAACCCCCCCACCCATCGCTGCCAGGGCCCAGCTGGAGACACCCCTGAAGTGGAGGAACTACGAGGTGAAGCTCCGGCTGCTGCTGCACCTGGAGGAGCTGCAGATGGAGCATGACATCCGGCACTATGACCTGGAGTCGGTGCCTATGACCTGGGACCCTGTAGACCAGAACCCTGGGCTGCTCACGCTGGAGGTCAGGGGTTGGATCGGTAGGAGGGAGGATGGACTCAAGTTAGCCAACCCACAGGCTGTGGGAAGAACAAAAGGAAGATGAAGTTTTTCCTGTCCCAGAGGGCTCAGCAAGTTGCCGAGTGGGCATCTGGGCCCCAAAAGAGGTGTCACAGCAAGGCAATAGGGAGGACTGGGGTTTTAGTCTAGACTTTGCTACTACTGGCTGCGTGACCTTGGGCAAGTCTTTTGCTCTCTCTGGGCCTTAGTTCCCTCACCTGAAAAGCATGGAGCTGGACTAGATAATTCTTAGAGCCCTCTCCCGCTCTCAGATGTTGAATGTGTACATCTAAGACCGGAATTACACACGAGAATGGATTCCTGCACACTTGTGCTGAGAAAGGCACTCAGAGAGAAGGGACGGCAGGTGAGGGTGATCAGGGAAAGTTGCCTACAGGAACTGAGTTTTGAACAAGATTTTAAAGGAAGAGTAGGAACAGAGCTAGCCAAGAGGGCAACCGGACTTGCTGGGAAGCTGGCCTCCAAGTCTTGAAATCATGCCCTGGAGGGTTTCCAGGATTCCTGGGCTCAGCATCTCTAAGCATCGTGGGCAGACTTGTCCCTTCTTCATCTCCCCTGACTCTTACCCTGTCTGGCAGAAGAGGAAAGAGGCAAAGCTCCCTGAACCTGGGGTAGAGGGTAGATCCTCAGGACTTGTGTCTCAGTTGGGGTCTGGAGTGGGCCCTCCACTGGCCATCTCCGGGTTAGAAGCTTGTGCTGTTCGTGCCCCATAGGTTCCCGGGGTGGCCGAGAGCCGCCCCTCAGTGCTGCGGGGTGACCACCTATTTGCCCTTTTGTCCTCTGAGACACACCAGGAGGACCCCGTCACCTACAAGGGCTTTGTGCACAAGGTGGAACTGGACCGGGTCAAGCTGAGTTTTTCCACAGGGTAGGTGTTGGGGGAGCCCTGAGCTGCAGGAAGGTCTGCAGGTGTCCCAGAGGCCAAGGGAGGAGGGTGTTTCTCCTCAGGATGAGTGGGACCCCAGGGACAGGGCAGGGGGACCCTGAGATGCCTCACCATCTTCCTCTCCTGGAGGATTGCTTGGAGGTCTGGGAAAGGGAGTGGAGTTGGAGTAGATGGAGAGAGTCCTGGCCTTTTATTGCCCACCCCCCCAATTGGAATTCTTCCCCTTCTCTCTCCCCCTTCTCAAAGTCTCCTGAGCCGCTTTGTGGATGGGCTGACCTTCAAGGTGAACTTCACCTTCAACCGCCAGCCCCTGCGGGTGCAGCACCGTGCCCTGGAGCTGACGGGGCGCTGGCCACTGTGGCCCCTGCTTTTCCCTGTGGCCTCTCGTGGGGTCCCGCTGCTGCCCTCAGATGTGAAGCTCAAGTGAGACTGTGGGCAGGGGCTCTGGGGCCACTTGGAGTGTGGGTGTAGGGGACGAGGTCAGGGAGGCCTCTGGGACGCGGACAATATCGTGTTTGTGGCCCCTCCACTAGGCTGTACGACCGGAGTCTGGAGTCCAACCCGGAGCAGCTGCAGGCCATGAAGCACATTGTTATGGGTACCACCCGCCCCGCCCCGTACATCATCTTTGGGCCTCCAGGCACTGGCAAGACTGTCACCTTAGTGGAAGCCATCAAGCAGGTGGGGCCTGAGCGTAGACCTGTGACCTACACTCTGACTCCCCCCGGGACAAAGCAGTTGTCCCCAGGTTCTGGTTCCTTCTGGTTCCTTCCGGCTCCCTGAACGCACGCCCCCGAAGTGGCCTCGAGGGCCAGTGTGGCTGTCGAGCATGGCGTGCAGCTTGGGTACTGCACGTCTCAATCTCCGTAGCCTTGTATAATTACGGCAGCAGTTTTCCAGCATTAAAGGGCTGCTGGACTAGCAGGGGCCTGCCGATCTGAACTTGCCTTTTGAGTCACTCCCTCCCTCAGCAATGGGAGGCAAATGCCACACCGCGCCAGTCTGAGTCACAGGCATGTTTCTCCCTCTCCCCTCCCCCCTGGAGACCAGAAGCTGCTTCCCACACTGTGCTCATCCCCACCCCAGGTGGTGAAGCACTTGCCCAAAGCCCACATCCTGGCCTGTGCTCCGTCCAACTCGGGGGCCGACCTCCTCTGTCAACGCCTCCGGGTCCACCTGCCCAGCTCCATCTACCGCCTCCTGGCTCCCAGCAGGGATATCCGCATGGTGCCTGAGGACATCAAGGTACTTGGGGAAGGGCGGGGGACCAAGGGGTGGCGGGTGCTGCTCTGGGTAGACGCTGGGGCCAGGAAACTAGGAGACCTGGATTCTGATACTCGCTGTATGACCTTGGGTGGGTCAGGACTGCTCTCTGGGCTTCAGTTTCCCTGTATGTAAAGTGAGAGAGTTAAATAAAATTGCCTGGAGGGGGTTCCCAGACCCAGAGCGAGGGTGAGAATGGAGGTGGAGGCAAGCTGAGTCCCTTCCCTGCACGACCCTCAGCCCTGCTGTAACTGGGATGCAAAGAAGGGGGATTACGTGTTTCCTTCCAAGAAGAAGCTGCAGGAATATCGTGTGTTAATTACCACGCTCATCACTGCCAGCAGGTGGGAAGTGTGTGTGTGTGTGCATCTCTTAAATTGTGTGTTAAGAGGTAGTGGTCTGGGGAAATGGGGAAGAGTGGTGCCTGGGGAGTTGGGGGGAGGGCCAGCTTGGGGGAGCATTCAGGTTTGGTAGTCGCGTGCCTGGATGTGACCCCTGCCTGGCCTGACACCTCCCAGGTTGGTCTCGGCCCAGTTTCCCATCGATCACTTCACACACATCTTCATCGATGAGGCTGGCCACTCCATGGAGCCAGAGAGCCTGGTGGCCATAGCAGGTGAGGGGCTCGGGGGCGGGGGGGGGCTGCGAGTGTGTCACCCCACATGGCATCGAGGAGGTCCCACCACACGCCTTTCTCCTCACGCTACCCATCTCCCAGGGCTGATGGAAGTCAAGGAAGCAGACAATCCAGGAGGGCAGCTGGTGCTGGCAGGAGACCCTCGGCAGCTGGGGCCTGTGCTGCGCTGCCCACTGACCCAGAAGCATGGGCTGGGGTACTCACTGCTGGAGCGGCTGCTCACCTACAATGCCCTGTACAAGAAGGGCCCTGATGGCTATAACCCCCAGTTCATAACCAAGCTGCTACGCAACTACAGGTATCCCGCACCCTCTGTGTCATCCCCTGCCTTCACACCCTCTGCAAGCGCAGCTGGCAGCTCCATCCCACAGTCCTCAGAGGCTGCAGTGATGCAGAAAGACTCAGCTGGAAGGTGGGAGCTCTTCTCCCCAGTCCCGTCCCTGCTCCTCCAGTTGCCTATCTGTACCTCAGGGGATGGTCAGTGGTTCCTAGACACCGGAATATATCTGACGCTGGTCCCAGGTGAAGTTTCTAGGCGTCCAAGGAGAAATGAGAAAAACAGGGACAATGTATTTTTTCATAAACCTATTGGTTATTCGAGTTAAAGAGCTATGCTTCCTTTAGTCAGTGAGTTCATATATCTAAAATGCTCAGATATCTGAGTTCCTACATCTTTAGTTCCTTAGATGAGTCCACTAGGAATTCAATGAATGTTAGCTGTTGTGTTAGTACCGCTGATATTTTTGGATTTAGCACATTGTCTCATCCAATAAGGGCGACAGTAGGTGATTCTTGCTTTTGTATTGTCCTTCCTTGACAAAATTGAAACTTGAGAATGGGCCCCTAATTTCTTGGTGTTTTCATTTAAATTTGACTGGTCTATGAAATCTGTGGATTGGATGTTCTCAGGAGCCACATTTGGTTCTGCTTTCTGTGGTTAACAGTGCCCAGCAGCAAAAACTGTAGCTGAATGAGTCTGCTATGCAGTGGGCAGGAAGACAGGAGGATAGTGTGTGTGAGCTCCAAGCAGGTGGAGCAGAGGTCCCTGAGGGCGGGGCAGAACTTATCCGCCCCCTGGTCTTGCTCTTCCTTCCTCCTGCCTCCCAGGTCTCACCCCACCATCCTGGACATTCCTAACCAGCTGTATTACGAAGGGGAGCTGCAGGCCTGTGCGGACGTTGTGGACCGAGAGCGCTTCTGCCGCTGGGAGGGTCTGCCTCGACAGGTGAGGCCGAGCGGGGCTGGGGCTCAGGCTCCTACCCCTGTACCCCAGCCTCCCTCTTACTGAGGGTGCTGAGTAGCAGGAGGCTCTGCGTGGAAGCCACGAGCCCCTCCCTTTGTCACCTAGGCCTGGGGTCCCCCACTCCCTGGAAGGGTTTGAGGGTGGGAGGGAAGGGAGGCAGGGAGGTCCAGCTGAGGGTTTCCCCTGACTCCGCGTCCAGGACTTCCCCATCATCTTTCACGGCGTAATGGGCAAGGATGAGCGTGAAGGCAACAGCCCGTCCTTCTTCAACCCCGAAGAGGCTGCCACGGTGACTTCCTACCTGAAACAGCTCCTGGCCCCCTCCTCCAAGAAGGGCAAAGCCCGTCTGAGCCCCCGAAGCGTGGGCGTCATCTCTCCATACCGGAAGCAGGTCAGGTCCTCAGTTCCCATCAGGGGTGGCTCCCCCGAGATGGTACCTCCTTAGCCAGACCACTAGGCAGAGGGTCCAGCTCAGGCCACCACTGGCCCCATACCTCAGAAGAGCGCAGAGGTCAGCTGCACCTCCCTCTTTGGCCCCCAGCTCCCTGGCCTCCTGCCTGGCACCCTCTTGCACTGGTGTGATGGCATGAGAGAAAGGCACCTGTCCCCATCTTCCAGGTGGAAAAAATTCGTTACTGCATCACCAAACTTGACAAGGAGCTTCGGGGACTGGATGACATCAAGGACTTGAAGGTGACCCTCACCACTGTTTCACATTCCCTTCCTGGCTTCTGTCCCCCTCTCTTCCCCACTTCCAGACACCTCCTCGGGTCCCTGCCCCACTGCTGCAGGCCAGCCCAAGTCCCTGCTGCACCCTCGCTGCCTGAGACAAACTTGGGCTTTCCCCATGCCTCTCACTCCTGGAGATCCCAACTTGTAGGTCTGGGATGGGACCGGGAAGCCCGCATGTTTAGCAAGCACCTCACGTGATTCTTATGATCAGGCTGGTTTAAGGTCTCTGCCCTAAGGAGAAAGTCCAGACTCCCCAGCCTGCCTGACCTGCCTGTCATATGATGATGTCCCCACTCACCTCTCCCACCCTCTGAGTCAGTCGGCAGCTCAGTTCTTTCTCAGATAAGAATCACCTGGAGAGCTTTTAGTGCTGCCAGCGCCAGGGCTCCACCCAACCAATTAACACAGCTATCTGGGGGCAGAGCCAGGGCATCAGGTTTTTTTACGGGCTCCTCAGGTGATCTCCCATGCAGCCAGGGTTGACACCCAGGGCTTTAAGAGTTAGAGGCCTCTTCCATGGAAATTCTGATTCTGGAGGTCTGGGTTAGGGCCTAAAGTTACTTTTTTTTTTTTTTTTT